CCACCACCCACCCCCACACCCGATACCCACACACCCACACACCCCATACCCACACACCCCATACCCACATCCCACACCCCACACCAGTGTTTCCAATGGAAATTTAAAGCAAAATGTACTGTACACTCTGTATTTTATTAGTAAAGTGTATTTTATACTTTGTTTTTTTCAGCAAAATGTATCAAAGTGTACGAAAGCCAAATTTTCACAATCTGAAAAACAAAATATAATGTTCGTCATTTTTTTCTTTCATAAGATAAATATTTTGATCTCTAGCAAACAAATAAACGTTATCTTTAACTAATTTAAAACTATACGCGACTTTTAATGTTCAAAAATCAAAGAAATCAAAATGTAAATTATTTTAGTAAAGTGTACATTGTACACTTTGTTTTTCTGGGCAAGTGTACAATAGAGTGTAAATCAAAAGTAGCAGATGCTCCGTACATTTTGTTTCTGCTTGGTATACTTGCCATTGGAAATACTGCCCCACACCCACATCCACACCCTTAAATTCATTCATAGAAAAAATACGTATGACTGCATACGCACCGCTTCACCATAAAAATTTCATGGGTCGTTATAGTGTGACGCAGTTAGTGAATCCATCACGCTCCTTTCACTTACCTGTAAGTATGTCGTCCACGACGTAAAAAGCTGTGGCGTGCGATCGTGTTTTTTTCTTTCGTGTAATAAATCCTGTAAAAAACAACAAATGAATCACAAGTAGTTTGTTTTGTTTTGTTTCCACTGGGACAAATTTCGCAGCGAACTTTTTGTATGTTCTGTTATGATGACGAAATCAAGTAAATCAATATTCTGCATACTATAAGACATTCATAAGAAACATTGAGTTGTTAATATCGAAGAACAAAAAAAAGTGATGATTAAAATATATCACAAGAGACAAGTTGATAAAAAAATATATTTTTCTTCGTCGAATTGCTAATTAAGTCGATGGTGACCAGTGGGGTACATTATTGGGTCTCAGTGTAGGTGAAGAGAATCTTGTTGCATTCATTTGCTCACGCGCTCATTCCTGCATCATACCCTCTCCTGAACTGAAGTTTCTATGACATTCTGATAGCCTCAATATTTGTCTTTGAGTCACCTTTTAAAACATCATACTCAATAAAGTAATAATAACTCCATACAGATATATCATGAGCACGAATCACTTTTGGGTACTGCTCGTTCGATTTGGTCCTATTTATGAGCAAAATATCAATGTGATCACGGCTTTATGCTTGGTCTTGTTACGCCATAAGAATCGATCAAATAAAATGAATTTTGATATTTATATTCGAAGAATATTTTATTAAATAAAATGTAGTGTCTTTTAATCAAAGAATGATGTGGATGAAGAAGTTATGCAGTTATGGAAAAAAAGCAGCTATAAAATAATTTTGATTATATAATTGTAGTTCGATAATTTAATGATATAAAAGGAGCATTTATGTAACTATTGAGTAGCTAAGTTTTACACCAAATTCTGAATTATCAGGTCGAAAATACAATGGTGTACGTGTCAGAATATTTGATGTTAAATTAGCACTTCCTACGATTAGTGCCATAGTGCCAGATGTTGTGGCAATAGATGCTAATCCATCTTCAATACCGATTCCGACATATGAGCCACTGAAAACATTGATGCGATTGCTAATGATATCGTAGGTTTGAATTGATTGTGATACTGATATTTCATAAGAGGGAATCAAATATTGGCTACAAACCATATAACCACCAAGGATAGGAATAATGCCATAGACCCAAATACGAGTCAAAGCCGTGGGTAATTTTGCTCGAGCATATTCCACTGTAAGTGTTTGAACATAGCCACTTACTCTACTTGAATCATTAGGATTAAAAAATGTATTATTTGGTGGAAAATATCCACCGTTCGGAGTTCGATTGCTCGGTTCAACAGTGACAACTAATGATAGCAGAAAGACGATTATACGAAATAAGTCAAGTTTTAGCTAAAGAGAAATCTTACTTGTTTGATTCGTTAAAACTTGAGCTAAATAAACAATGAACAAGAACAATTTAGTATAAACAGTAGAATCTTTTTTAAAATAATGAGCTTCAGACACAAATGACTAATATTATCAATTATTAGCTGACATAAAATTAACAAAAGAAAACGCTATGTACTCATATCGATATATGTGTGAACATGTTCAGTATAATATTGATAATTTAAGTGATACAACTTCGTAAGGTATATCGGTCATCGTAAGTTTTGATTAAATTTGTTCTTCCTATGAAAAGATTTCTGCAGCATAGTTGAAAGCTATCGATAAAAGAATGAATTCAATGAATCTTATAGCTATCGTTTCTTGAGGCTTTTCAATATTTCTTTTTACCACCAGATATCTAGCGCAGCTATACGATAGTATAAGCTAAGAGTTTTTAACGACTACTTACAAAATTCATGGTTAAACTTGCTCAGACAAATCCATTTCAATTGATCGATCCAAAATGCATCAATACTTTTAATTAGATAGACATAGTGGAGAAATCTTCAACAGTAGGGGCCAGAAACGGACGAAATCAGGTTGATATTTTGGTCACTCAAACCACTTTATCTCTAAAATAGTTATATAGCTGTCATTCTGCATAACTCATGGGCAACGAATTTAAGCAGAGTAGGGGGTAGACATTTTCGTTAAGTTGATTGTTCTCGTTCCATACAGGTACGACCCGACAAAAGATATCAGTCAACTTAAGACGTTATGAACATTAAAGGGACCGTCTCATTAAGAAATAAGATTTTTATGATTTGAAATACCGAGATTGCATTTAATTACGTTCAAAGTACAAAAAATGCGTTCTCATAAAAAAGCTGTGAATACTTTGCTCGGCAAAGGGCCAACCGAAAAAAAACTTTTCAACGGAGAGACAATCAATTTTAATCTTGGAATATTTACTATTCTGTTTCTCATTTTATTCCCGCGGCACCTCAACTATGTTTACAAAGATATCGGCATGGCCACGCATCGGTCACCCATGCATGGGGGAGGTTCGAAATCAACCATGAAGAAAGCTGAGTCTACCATTTAAAAGAGAATGGTCGATAGTACTTGAAATGTGGGCATTTTTATTCCTAAGTCTCATTGAGTGCACTAGATGAGTAAGGTCTTCCTTTCAATGAGTAACTCGAAAATTTGGGCAATAGAGGGTAGTGGAATACTTCGTCAAGCAAGGAACTATTGACAAAAGAAAGAGTTTTTCAATTATTTATTAATCGATGGGATACAAAGTACTCTTTAAAGACATGACCCTTCCATCAGTTGATAGATGTCTACGAATGACGATAATGAGTTCAAAAACCATCGCTTTTCTTGACGAAATTCCGTAACGAAACTCGCTCTTAGTGTATTTTACGCGCTTATGTTGCTAATGCTCGTAACAAAAGTAGTATTTTCAGATAGAGCTCAACAAGCTCTACACAAAATACCCATTTTAGTTGCAGTTTCATTCAATATTCACATACGTTTTCTACAAATACCGCGTTACGGAATCTCCTAGGCATACGAAATTTCGGGTGTTTTTACAGTATCAAGCGTTTATCACTGATTTCGTGCATAGATATACACATATTTGGTTATATTCGGAATCAGCGTCGAATTCTGAACAAAATGAAGTATTTAGATAATCAAAAGTCGAACTTTGATTTTTCTCGAAAATTTCGTATGGTCAAAACTGTTGAAAATTTCTTTTCGTCGAATTCTGTTAAAAAATGAGACATTCGATGCAGAATTCGATGCTGGTGACGAATATATGCTTACTTTTTATTCTAATCCTTTTCTTTGCGTTAAAACCACGATCTTCGAAGAAAAGGTGAAATTCCGTAACGGACGATATTTCAAATCTTTCATTTGATGAAGCTAGACTCGATCAGAAATGATCTGATATTCTAGCTACTTGTTGAAAACAGAACAACTTTTGCACATAACGTTTATCGATGTGCTGCTGTGTTTCGTACAAAAAGCTTAGCTCTTGGCCACCCTAAAAAAATTTCCATTTTTTGAAATTCCGTAACGGTCAGTATTTGTTGAATAACTCTGTTGTCGCTAAAGATAAATTGATAAAATTTTTACTGGTAATAGATCTAAACGACTTCTATATGAGAGAAAAATTTTAGGCAGTTTGCTTCTATTACTGAGAAGTTACAGATGTTGCAATGTGAAAAAATGAAATTCTGTAACGCCTGGCCACGCCGATATTCAAAAAATTCGCATCGGGTTCTGCTAATCGAAACAAGTTTTTCAATTGAAAATCTTGCACTTTCTTCAAAAGACAGGTGAACCTATGCTGCTCGTCGTCGACGACGTACCGCAGCGAATGACATTATCAATCCTACGCAAGCAATGTTCAATAAGTACAGTACAGTACACAGTTCAAAAATGCTACCTGGACACGTCAACTGGATGTTGGATCCATTGCATCCGACAGCATTTTGTGCCGTAGACGTTGGTAATGTTACTGGTGAATTTATAGCGATTGTATTAACAGATGTTAAACCGTTTTCAGCATATATACGAACGAGATTAAGTCTTTCCGGGCCGGCAACATTGACTGTAAATGGCGTTGTCATACGAGGACTGTAAGTTGTAAAAATCAAAATATAAGTTGTACCAGCTTGAAGCGTAAATCCTATTAAAAATTGGAGATTTCCACCAACATCATCGTCACATATAACGAGATTCGATGAGACATCATATGCATTGAAATTATTCACATACAAATATCCATAACTATCGACCGCACAATTACTTCTGAATGTATAATTGCCTGTTGTATTTACTGTAACTTGAATTGCTTCATAATAAAATAAGCCCGAGCTACCATTTCTTGTGAAAGTAGAACTGTCACTGCTTAGTATACTTGAGTAGCTTGTCGTGACACCGGTGACATTGTTTACATTTGATCGACTAGCTATTTGAAAGAAACTTTTTATTTACTTCCATAAATGATTTAAGAGTTCGAGATTTAGCTTAATCAGGAAAATTCCTTTTGATAAGATATTATAAAAATATATGCCTATAATGCACACTACTACAATGCCCTTCATTCCAAAAGTTATTCGTCTCACATCTACTAATATCAAACGTTTTCTTTTCGATTCAATTTCAGTGCACAGGTTATCTAATCAAAGAAAGCTCATCTACTACAGAGTTAGGTATCGACTGGTTCGCGTGGCACGAAAAAGGATCCATTACTGGCACTGTCATTGTGGCTCAAGTCATCTTACCAGATTATCAATCATCACTGTTACCTCTTTCGAAAATAAGAAAGCATTCTTCACAAAAGCTGGAATCCTCTTCAGTAATCTCCAAGTACAAATATCGACTGAGTAATAAGGCGGCTAACTATGAGTTTAGGATATCTTGAAGAAATGAAATGAGTCGGCAATCAATGAATTATGCATACCAGTTATTGTTAATGTTGGCATTATAGTAGTTGATGGTGCTGCCGATGTGATATTTATTCGACGAAGACAAACACTAGTTGGACCAACAACATTAACTGAAAATGGTGTCATAACATTAGAACTATATGTTGTAAAAACCAAAATGTAAGTTGTACCAGCTTGAAGCGTGTAAGTCATTGAAAATTGGAAATTTCCACCAGCATCATCATCAGATTTAACGAGATTAGATGAGACATCATATGGATTGAAATTATTCACATATAGATATCCATAGGTATCAATCACACAATTACTTTCGAGTGTGTAATTGCCTGTTGTATTTACTGCAACTTGAAGTGCTTCATAATAGAATGAGCCTGAGCCACCATTTCTCGTGAAAGTAGAACTGTCACTGTTGAGTACACTTGAGTAGCTTGTCGTGACACCGGCGACATTGCTTACATTTGATCGACTACCTATTTGAAAGAAACTTTTTATTTACTTCCATAACTGATTTAAGAGTTCGAAATTCAGCTTAATCAGGAAAATTCTTACTGATAAAACACTACAAAGTATATACTTATAATGCACACTATTGCACTGTCCTCCATTGTAGAAGTTATTCATCTCGCATATACTAGCATCAAACCTTTTCCTAACGTTTAATTATCATGTAATATTTAGTTCAAGCCAAATAAACGACATACTTATAGAATCACATGTCGGATAATTGAGTATCAATCACAAAAAGTCCCATTACTATCACAGTGAGCTTCGCTCAATACGTCTTAATAACTTAACAGTCTTCATCGTTTATCTGTTTTTCGAAACAAAAAATATCATCAGAAGAGCCAGAATCTTCTTCGAGAAACTACAACTTCAGGCAGGGACTGAAAAATATGGAGACTGGGTATACATGCATGATGTCATAAGAAAAAGAAATAAGTTGAAAATCAATAAAGCATCCCTACCACTGGTTGTTAATGTTGGCATTGTACTAGTTGATGCTGCTGTTGATGTGATATTTATTCGACGAAGACAAACACTAGTTGGACCAACAACATTAATTGAAAATGGTGTCATAACATTAGAACTATATGTTGTAAAAACCAAAATGTAAGTTGTACCAGCTTGAAGCGTGTAAGTCATTGAAAATTGGAAATTTCCACCAGCATCATCATCAGATTTAACGAGATTAGATGAGACATCATATGGATTGAAATTATTCACATATAGATATCCATAGGTATCAATCACACAATTACTT